AGAAAGGAAATTAAAAGACAAATGACAAACTGCAGGAAATATTTTCAGCATATGATAATCCAAAAATGTAAGAGCATGAAACAAAGGATACCCTCAATCACACACAAAACAAGTAGCTAATAACTATCTACAGAGACAGTCCACTAGTCATCAAAGAGGTACAAATTAAAACAGTTAAAATCATTCACATTAGAGATTGGCAAGGACAGAGACTGACACAACCAAGGATAAAGAGGATGAAGGTGATATGAGGACATAGCCCATGATGGAAAAATAATTGATACGTGCTTTCTGCAGAGTGGTTTGACAATATGTAAATGTGCCAAAATGTAAAATGTGCCTTATTAACGTAGCAATTACATTACTAGGCATTTGCTTAAGATAATGGCACAAGTACAAAAAAAAATAATAATAAAATAAAAATGCATGCTCAGGACTATTCACCTGAGTAGTGTTTTTCATTCAGGGAGAAAAATTTAAAACAATTCTAAATGTCCATCAACTGGAGACTGATAAAGTAAAATTTATGGCCCATGTATATGATGAAATGCTGTCCGGCCTTTAAAAACAACAACTGACATTTACTGATTGTTTTGGATCAGAACACACAGCAAAGTAGTCAAAAGCACACAGCCTGGCATCAGCCTGCCTGGTTCACCACCAACTCCATCTCTTACAGGCTGGGTGATCTAAACCAACTGCTGGACCTATCTGTGCCTCAGTTTCCACTCTATAAGAGTGCATACCTCTTAAAGTTACTGTGAGAATTAAAAGATCTATCAGTTGTAAAACACTGAGAACAGTATCTGTAACACAGAAAGTGCTAGAAAACAAGCTTGTTAAATAAAAAATATTGTCATGAAAAATTTATCTTCCACATTAGTGTGTGAAAAATAATCACAGAATATTATGTATGATCCCATTTTTGAAAAATGCATGTGGGTATACACAGAATAGAAGGGGTCTTCTTTTTTTCAGACATTGTAACAGTCATTATTTCTAGGTGGTGAAATTTTGGATTATTTTCACTTCCATCTGCCTATTTTTCTATATCATTACAGGTATTAAAAACAAAAACAAACAGAAGTGATAATATCCAAGAGGCACTCTCAGACACGTTTGGAGTCTAAGTTGGTGTGAACTTTCTGGGGAAAAATGTGGCAATATACTTTCTGATGCAACAGTCTGCTTCTAGGAATTTCTCCTACAAAAATAAGAACAAAGGTCTACAAAGAGGTTGACATACCACACAAATACATACATGTACACATACATACCATACAGGAATATTTGTTAAAGTAATAACCGCCAAAAAACTGATAAAAGCCTAGGTCTTCATCAATCATACCATGGCTGGTACAAACAACAGAACACCGTGTGCCACAGAACCACAAGGAGAGACCAGCCTGGCGAGGGCCTTGCACATGCAGGGAAGGCTCTGCTCTGCCGCAAAGGGGAGAGGCTGAGGGACTGTTTTAGAGAGATAGCCCCGAGGACAGTGCAGACTCAGAGCGGCCTCGCACCCATCTGACCTTCTGAGTCTGTGCTTTTGATTGTGAGCCTCAAAGTCAGATTTAGGCCTGAGGTCTGCAGAAAGAGGAAGCAGGAATGTTTGGTGTTGCAAAAGGGTGAAATCCCTGATTTCTAGCCATAGCTGTGCACAAGGTCCAGGAGCATCTCAAAAGGAACCTGACAGATAGGAAAAACAAACCCTGCGAGGGCACACAAACGAGACAGCTCCTTAAGAAGACAGCACCAAACGACCTGAGAGGGCTGGATTCTCAGAAGAACTCAGGCAGAAACTACAAACAGCAGAGCTGCCTTGATGGCTGGAGCTGGCACCTCTGATTAAAATGCAACACCGTTACTAACAGTGCCAGAAAGACAGAGTAGGGGGTGTGTACCTGTGAGACACAGAGAGAGAGAAAGAGACAGAGAGAGCATAAGCACGTGCAAGAGAAGGTGGGGAGAGATCTGTAACCCAAACCCAGTGATTAACAAGTCCACCGGAAATCAGAGCTCCAGGTTCAGGTTCAGGGGAGGTACGTCCTAATCCATCCTCCCTCAACCATCTCATTTCTAAAATTATCTTTATTTGCCAAAAGGACTTTAGGTTCTGAAACAAGATCCTGATTCCTTTGAAATCCCAGCACTCCCTGCCTACACCTCTCACATGGCAATTACTCACGCTCCATCTTGGGACAGCTGCTACCCCACTGCCTTCCTTGAATTCTCATGCATTATTTGTACTAGCCCATGCAGCTAGTGAGATTTCACATAGCACCCTGTGAGTTCTTTAAGGGAAGGAACAACATCCTGTATTTTCAATAACTTGCACAGATGTTGAAAATGAGCCCTGGCCACCAACCTAGATGTTTCATAAATATTAGTTGATGAGTTACTCAATAATTCACCTAATCTGGTAATAGGGTTTTACAAACCAAAAGTCCTATTCGTTACGGAGAGGCATTTATAGTAAAGAATTTAAAAACAGGGGTTCAGAACAGGACAGCCTGGGTTGAAAGGCCAGGTCTTCTTACTAACTAAAGGACCCTGGACAAATTACTTAATCTCTCAGAGTCTAAATGCCCTTATCTGTAAAACAGGAAGGATCACAATGGTACTGCATCCACATGGCTACGAACAGTTAACAGGAAGAGCTAACATTTACTGGGTGTTTTTGATATGGCAGGTACTATCCTAAGAACTTTATTAAGTCCTATCTCATTCGATCCTTGAAGCAACCATATTAAATGGTACTGCTTTTATTCCCATTCTACAGATGAGGAAATTGAGGCAGAATGAAGTTAGTAAGCGCTGGGATTCAAACCCAGATAGCCATATTCCAGAGTCTGTTCTTAACCAGAACTGCCTCCTACATAACACACTTAGCACAGTACAAAACAGAAAGAACTTCTTAAACACAGGGTACAATCTGAAGACTTCAAACATGGTACAAGGACCAAACGACAGCAGCAGAACCCACACCGGAGGCCCTCACCTCTCCAGTGCGGCCTTGCTATTTCATTCCTCCTACAGACATGCTGTCCCACGGCAACTTCGTCCCCTGCTCATGTTCATCCCCCTCTCAGCCTCCTTTAGAAGTTGCTTCAGAGCTGAAGCCCTGTCTGGAGGAAGTACCCAGTATTCTAGTTCTCAGCCACTACTTGGTCAATCACGGTCCCTCACAGTAGGGACAGTTTGGGTGGCATTTGGATTAAAGGAGGAAGGACTAAGATGTCCAGATGCCACCCGAACTGTGACACCAGGCTCCCTCCTGACTTCCTACCACAATGTCTTCTCCCAGTAACAATTTACTATCCTTCAACATTCTGCATGTGAAAACCTGATCTTCTCTCCCAGAACACAAGCTCAGCAAGGGCAGAAATGGCGTTTTACCATCTCTGTAACCCCCAAAGTATCTCGTTACACATCCCCCCAACCTGCACACCTTGGGCATGAACTACCAGATTACACGTTCATTTCAAAGATGACTCACAGTGACAACAATTACTAGGAAAATAAGTACTTTTCCAGATGGATGAGACCTGTATAAATATGTGCTATTTCCAAGTAATAGCCAAACCAGTAAAAAACCGATATTAGTAGCTACACCTCTCAGTAAGAAAGTGACATGTTCAACCCTTTGGCAGCATGTACCTGCTTCTCCTTCCTCCTCACCCAAATTCAGCACGATGATGCAGATGTGCTTCCGTAGCTGGCGCGTGTTGGAAAACTTCCGACAGCACTTGCTACACTCCAAGCTGCTTGGAGCCAGGCTGCTCCCTTCCTCTGCAGCCAGAGGACTATCCTCGGTTGGACTCACAATGTTTTCTGCCAGCTCCTCTTCGGCACTGGGTTTCTTCGTGGACCCCTTAGGCCTGCCTCTCTTCCTCTTCATGACCAAAAACTCTGTAAAGGGAACGAGAGGAAGCAATGGAGTCACATGAGATGACAGTGCAGGGCTCGCACTCAACTTCCAAGTGTGAGGATATGTTCAGGTTTCACGTTTTGTTATGAATGAAAAGTCTGAAGCAATTCTAGAAATTAACAGCTGCGAAAAATCATCTTCAGTGCTAATCATCTTCCCTGCATCTGTATACTAATAGGTAATCAATTCTGTAATAGTCCTACTCAAGACCAGCAGTTTATCAGCAGCTTTGCACATCCTCTTCTGCAAAGCTGGGAGGACTTTCAGTTTGGGCTGTCAGCCCCCAGGTCACAAATCCTGCCCCTTGTTAGCCACCATTTTCACTGAAATCCAGTTCTCAGAAACTGCTTAGGCACATCTTTGCAAAGGGTTCTCAAAGGCTGCCGAGCTTGTCATACTCTTAATGAGTTACACAACTATTCAGATAATTTCAAAGAGTCGTAATTATTAGAGTCAAGCTGCCCTGGTGAAAAAGGGAAAAAATAATTACAATCTAAAGCCACATATTATAGGATTAAAGACAATAACGACATTTTTCAAGTTTCCTAGCAACCTAGTGATTTTATTTTATTTTTTTCATTATGGTTCTCGGTGTACTTTATTCTCCTGCTGTCTAAGCTAAGCAGCCCACACAGGACAGAAATGGGTAGCACTGAGGAATGATCAGATTTTTTTTCTCTCCCCAATATCTCTGCCCCCTCCCTAAGCTCCGACTCAACCCTATCTAATATCAGGAATGGTTAGTATATCATCCTCTCCCTTAAGGAACAACTGAAATGGAAACAAGGTATTAGAGGACCAGGCCTCTTCTTAGTAGGGCTTAGGAGCTGGTATGAGCTAGCTCTTTATTCACAATGGAGTGCCTCTCCTTCAAACACCTGGATGTTTTTTGTACACTGGTTCATAGATCGGCACTTGACTTTGAACCTGGCACCAAAAGGCACAATATCTGATACCCTGTACAAGAGCTATTAGAGATGCTGCCATATGGATGGGCAAAACCGAGCCAATCCCACTTATGAACGGAAGGCTTGGACAGGGCAACCTAGTGATTTTAAACGGCATGATCAGAGCTGCTGTAGAGCAAGTTCCAAGTCATTTTACAACTTACATTGCTTAATTCGTGTTCATTTTTAAGGCATTCGTCTCCAGAACCAAGGTGGGGATTGAGAGGGAGAGCAGGTCAGGGAGCAGAGCATCACACGCGTCTGAGTGCAGGTGGAGAGGCCTGGCCTTAGGTGATGCAACTTGAGAGATGCACTGAGAGAGGCCAAGCAGGGAGCTGCCGCCAGCCCGGCTGACATCCCCACTGCTGGAGTCATCTGTCTGGCTGAGGCATGGCATTTCAGCAATCCCCTTTTACCGTCGAGGAAGGAGTCCTAGGTTCTGGCACCATCTTGGGCATATGTTCATCTGTAGCATCAGGATGTCTTTCAGGTCCCTTCCCGCTCTCCCTAGAACTGTGGTTCTGCACAGCAAAACACCAGCCACTTTATCCACTGCCACCACCGTGAGGATCCTTTCAGTCAGTCACTCGTGCTCATAAATCAGAGTGGAAAGAACAGAGACAGGCAGAGTCTGCAGGGACAGAGCAGCCTAGCAATGGGGTCTCTGGACAGAGAAGCCTGCTTTGACACGGGGTCCTCAAGACCTCAGGGAGACCAGGCACCAGAATGGGGCAGATTTCCTGAGAAAGGGGGGCCCTTGTTGTGATAGAGCCTCTGCTGAGCTGCAATGCCAAGGATGAGTCGACTAGTCTCAGCTGAGGGACTCTAACCAGAGCCTCCTGCACCTGAACAGCCAGCACGATGACTGCCTTCCCTCATCCACTTAATGACGGGAAAGCAGATAAAGCAAACAATGGACACAAGACCCTGGAACCCTTCCTGGATTTCACAGAGGAGAACAAAGGCTGTGTTTACAGGAGAACCCACCACATGTCTAGGAGGAGGGAGGGGGAGGAAAGAAACAGAAGGCACAGAGTAAGGAAAAACCATTTTCTTCAAAGTCATTAAAACTTTTCTTATTATTATTCTTTACAACAACGTGTACTTGTACAACTATTGAAGCAGCAATTAATATCAGAGAAGCAGAATTAGCCACGAGGCTATAAAACACCCACCTCGTGTCACATCAGCTGAGCTGTAGAAACACGCTGCATAACAGTTCGTTAAAGTTTGTGGCCCAGGTCGAACCCCAGATGACAGACTCTGACGTCCTGCCTGTGCAGATACAAGCCACTCCTGTGAAATGCTCTACGAGGATGCAGCTGTGCAGTGAAGAATTAATTTTACCCAAAGAGAGGGCTGGCCTTTGCCCTAGGCTATCGGGAGGTGACCTGTAGACCCCTGGCTGTCCCTCCCGATAGGAGTACCTTTGTTTGCCTGGAAACTCTGGCCACCAAACAATGGAATTTATGATGGGGACTTTAGAACAGGGCACATCAGTCCCAACCTCTGGAGGGACAGGAGAATAAAGGTATTAGTACAAACCTCCAGGAGAGACAGGGACTAAAGGTCAGCCATGTGGCCAGTATGTCACCGAGCCCCAGTAAAAACTTGAATGGGCTTCTCTGATTAGAAGTACTCTTGAGTATTGTCACATGTTGCAGCCAGAAGGAGGTAACTTTGTCCAGGACTCCACAGAGGAACCAAAAGCTCCACGTTTGGAGCCTTTCCCATCCTATGCATCTCTCCCCATGGCTGCTTCTGATTTGTATCCTTTTGGCCCAATAAAATTATAATCATAAGTATAGTGCTTTCCTGAGTTCTGTGAGTTGTTCTAGCAAATTATCAAACCTGATAAAGGCCACGGGGACCCCCAAATTTGTAGTTAACTGGTCAGAAGTGAGAGTGGCCCAGACGACCGCCGAATTTGTGGCAGGAGTTTGGGCAGACTTGGCAGTCTTTCGGAGAACTGTGCCCTTAGCCTTGAGTTTGACAAAATCAGCATAGCAGGACCCCCGGTGTTTCCTCCACACAGACCTGCCATAGCACACAGACAGCAGCTGCAGCGCCTCCCGTGTACTTGCCGTGTACAGGAGCACAGCACAGTGGTATCTGCAAGTCTCCTCCCACAGGCTGGAGACTCCTTGAAAGCAGGGTCCTTGGCCCGATTATTTTTTACCTGCCTTGGCACCTAAACCGGTGCCCTGCACAGCAGGTACCCGCTCACTCTGGGTGAATTAAAACTGATGAACAGCACACAATCTGATGGCAAGGAAGAAATAAAATCGGCCCTGAAAGCTTTGGAAAGCCTCAAACACGATAGTGACAAAACTAATCTTCCAACTTGCTGGATCCATAATTCAGATTCTCAAGACCAATTAGTTAGCTAAAAATGAAATATTCATAAATAAACTTAGAATAATTTAAGCACTGAAAATGAGTTGCTGCTGTCAACTACCCGCATTTTATGGAAGAGCTGAGAATCTTGGAACTGGGCAAGGAACACCATGTAACCTCTCAATCAATACGCTTCAGTAGAGTTAGCGTTAATTCTTCTTCCTCATTCCGAATTCTTTTACTCAGTCTGTCACTGAATTCTGTGGATTGTGCCTAAACACGTCTGTCCAGTCAATCTCCTACCCACTCTCACAGCAATTCTGCCACCCAGACACCTGCACGGGGTCTCCCGATGCCAAGCCCCTGCTCCGGGCTTTCTCTGCCTCCATCCCTTGTCTCACCGCCATTCCTCACTCTAGGGCCTTCAGTGCTCTGGCTGACTTTGCCCCACAACTCTCAGACCTGGTTGTCTAGGTCCTTGAGCATGCTGCACACATGCGAACACACATACACACTCGTGTGCATGTATACATATGCATGTGTACACACACACAGAGCTCCCCTATCTTCCCCCTTTACTACTCAGTGCAATTTTCTAGACTTCCCTAAATATGCACGGACAACTCCTATCTCTTCTTACCTGTACTATTCCCCCCTGCCTGCCTGTGACCCCGTCCTTCACTCCCAATCAGACCCCAGCCCCTAATTCCAATCCTAACATTTCAGGTCCAGTTCAAACCTCAGTGTCTCCTCCAGGAGACTGTTCCCAGCCATGCAAGCAGGACAGCCACCTCCTCAACTTGACGTGCATTATAGTGTGAACCACACACACACGGGGTGTGTACTCGCCCACATTATTTCCTGATTATTTCTCTTTTTCCCCACTTTTTATTATAAACCTTGAGGTTTGAGGAAGCCTTTAATTCCCAGGTCCCACTGGTTCTTGAACAGAGCTGGATATGAAGTAGCCACTTAATAAATAAGCACACATTGGACAGCTGTTTGATGACAGGAAAAGAAACATTTGGAAAATAAGGCCTTTCTTGTGTCTCAAGTTTCCAACAGGAAGAAAGGGTCATCTTAATCCTGCTGTAAATCCATAGTTTGGGAACAACTTCCTCTTAGTCAGAAAACTGCCCTTGCAGAGCTAAGGCCAAAAACTGGCAAGGGACAGCAAGAATCAGCCAAAAGTTTTTAAACGCAATCAAAATACATGAGAAGTATGAAAAAAATAGTCCAATATTATCAAAAATTTAATAACATAAGCCCTTTATTTGTACATCACTCAAGTTTGCAAGACACTTTCCCAGCTATTGTTTCATTTTATCCTCATAAAAACCTTAAGAGATGTCTGTAGCAAACATAATTTCCTCAATAAGAAAAGAAACAAGAGACCCAAAGGTTCAAGTGACTTGGCACATTTTCCAGAACTAGCTGCTGAGCACGTAGAACCCAAATAAGGATTTGGGTTTCCTTATTCCCAATCAAAAATCTTTCTGCAGAATCATATACCGTTGAGGCATGGGTAACAAAGGTCAGTTCTAGACATTTTAATAGGTACAGAGAACACTGGCTTGGAGTGAGGCAGACAAACCTGGGTTCAAATCCCTCCTGAGCCTCAGCTTCCAATGTGCAAAATAAACACAAAATTGCCTCTATTTCATAGAGTCACTGTTGATAAAAGCAATCCATTACAA